ATAACTCGTTTTCATGTGTTTCTTCTCTTTTTTTTACATTTTATTACTGGCGCAGTATCCGAGTTTAATAATAATAACAGTTACAGTTCGCATGTCACTCATGGAAGGATCTGTCAACGAAATCCAGGCAGAAGAGCCAACAAAAGGAATCTCATTATTGTTAGAACCAAGAGTAGATAAACAAGAGTGTGCAACTCGCGGATGGGTAGGCCCACGGCGGAATTTTTTGTTGACGTAATCTTTTCGACGACGCACGCGCTGCGAGTCTTTCGGAAAGTTTTCCCTCGTGCTCTTGGCCGGCTTTACACTACAAGATCGGTGCCCAGCACGTGCTCTCACACTGCTCTACGGCAAAATGCGCGTTCTTCTGAAAAAAGGTGACGTCAACAAAAAATTCCGCCGTGGGCGAGGGTGTCTGCAGATTGTGCAGGAGAGATCCGGAGTTGCACACTCTTGTTTATCTACTCTTGTTAGAACGTATCACAGTATGAACAACTTCGCAAGCGCAGCACATTTTTCCACAAGCATCAGCCATTTTTCTTGTCTAGAGCCAGTTCAAAACAGTCAGAAATGTCAATATTGGCGTGCTAATGTGTTAGTTCGCAGGTTATTGTTTGGTGGTGTTTTGCCTCGCTAGTGTTTGACTGGTGTGTTGGCCACAGAGATGAATCTGTTCAGACAACTGCATAGTGCTCCTTGCATGGTGAGCCCAGAGTACATTGTACAATGCCATGTAGATCTACCTTCCGTTCTGGTTTTGTAGACTCCGACTGCATCCGAAGGGACATGTTTTCTGGTTTTGTCATGGATATTTCTTCCGCAATCATCTGTAGTCTGTGTAGACCCCGTTTCTTTGTTCTGTACAAGGGGTAGTGCAGCTACTAGTGGCTTTCACTCTGGATCTGTCATTCAAGCCTACGAATGGGGCAGGAAATAGAGGTCCTTGTGTGAACCAGGCTTCATGGCATTGTCTAGTAGATACAGGGAATGTGCAGATAGTAACATTACATGTCACGTCTCTTCCTCTAGTTGCAGTTCGCACTTCGCTCTACGGTCTGGTACACTACCAGACAACGCGTGTGAATCTGTGCAAAACCGGTACGTGAAGTTCACACTTGTCATGCAGTCTGCGGCCCTCAGCAGAACAAAACAAACATCGCGATGTCTGTCTAGCGTTCACACGTGGGTCGACCTGTCCTGCATGTCTTTCAATGCGCGTTTGAGAAAATTAATGTCACCTTGGTCACAAGCCTTCTGCAACGTAGAATCTACTGACGCACCACAAGTGCTACACTACTCAAACCTAGTCTGCCGGCCGTCAGTAAAACCAGCATACGAGTAATAGTATACTACTGTCGTGGACATGGAAATCCGGTCGCACGTCTAGCAGCCCCAGAGCGCTGGCCATGCAGCCGTGGATAAGCGGTACACACACATGCATACGCGCTGCAACGACGTGCTGGCCCCGGTCAATCGACTGGATTTCCATGTCCGCCACAGTAGATTGCGGTCCTCACACGAAATGAGGCCTGAGAAAATCGGATCGGAAGCCTGACATTCGTTTCTTTCTTTTGCTTACGTGACGAGGCCAGTGTTGCAGTGGTTCTTGTCATCTGCCGTTCATAAGCATATCCGAGTTGAAAATTAATAGACTTGGAAGCATGAAATCATTGCATTGTAATAGTTCCCAATCCCATGACTGAATCATTTCAGAGTCTTGTAGTTGTGTTTCCTGTGCTGTTGAGAGAGTATTGACAGTGACAGTGCAGCACTGGCGTAGAAATGATGTTCAGAAATACAGTACAATGTCATGTACATTGAACATGATTGAAGTCGGAGGAATGCACCGCCTGGCTGCCTCCGTCTCCGTGGACTACGGGTAAGCGGATTATGCTCGGAAAATGACCAGATTATGCCCTAGCGGATGCTCGCAGGATGCTCGAGAAAACAGGCAATTATGCTTTTATGTGCTTCACCAAAAAGACCAAAGAACAGATAATCGTCATAAAAAAAGAACTCAGATCATTGTCATGATGTGGACTCGGAGCTTTGTGGAAGACACTAATAATGCGAGAGGAATACCAAATTCACAAGCAGACGCTGGACATTTGAAAGATGTCCTATAGTGGCTGCTAAAATATTATTGCAAATCGACAAGAAGCGCTATGTGTGGTCCTTCAATAGCAGGTGTATATATTATAACAGCCTCATTGGGCATCTGCCCTTGTTTTTCGGATGCCATTTTATGCTCTTTCTCAAAAAGGCCCTGATTATGCCTTCAATTATGCCGGCATAATCCGCTTACCCCTACTGTGGACTGCATGTCATCGAGTGTTTGGGATCTATCCAGTCATGCTTCAGTCCTGCTCAACACGAACGTGAATCTGGAACATCTCGAATGTAAGTCTTGAAGTGAGACTGTTATGCCAACAATAACGTGTTTATGGAAACTATCCACCTTTTGGTGAAAAAAGGAGGACAAAATGTTACGAGTTATGACTAACTGTCCACCAATGTAACCAGATCTTATACATGTCAGCGAGTGCGACAAAATGGCACAAAACTGACACAGGAGTACTGAGACATTCGGCGACCTTAGTCATAACTCGTAACATTTTGTCCTCCTTTTTCACCATAATTTAATTGGCTCACCATCCGAGTATCCACCTTTTTTCGATAATTTTAAAATTGGTTCACCATCCGGAAATGACGTGGTTGCACTTTTTACTTGTAACTCGTAAGCTTGTCAACGTCAAAGTACCTGACATGATTTACAGCTTACACAGTGAGATATGAGCATTGGTTTCAACCAGATAATTGTTGTGATGTGGTGGGCCTACACAAGGGTAAACGTTCCTAGTCACCTCCCGTAGAACTAGGGGTGTGCGGATAATGCTCGAGAAGGTGGCAGATTCTGCTCGAAAAGCAGTGAAATTGGCAGAACCATACAAACCTTATGGCGGGCAATTCCTCGAATTCTGCTCCATTTCTTTATCCACATACCAAACATGCGAAACTTACCAGAAAAAGTACCGAATCCTGCCAATGTTTTGATGGCATTATCCGCACATGCCTACCTAGAACCCATCCTAGGATTTGAAACCAACCGGGTAACTAATGTTAGACCTTTACCTGGCACACACACTCTTGCAACCGGATCAGAGCTAGTCAGAGTCGGGTACATTCAAGTGCGGCTAGTATACATCAGCGAGTCTTAGGACTTCCTGATGGAGTCCCAACTGGGTCACAAGGGAACCAGTGTCCTTTTACCAAGCGGGCCCAAGTACCCTCCCCCCCCCAAACCGGGTCGATGGCCCGGCTGACCCGGCTCTGGAGCAGACACTGACATAGCAGGAAGAAGAGGGGGGGGGGGGGGTAGTGTTGGCCGGTTCCATAGCTGGTCGAGTCTCACAGATTCCCAAGAACATGCATGAAACCGTACTTTGCTTGACACTATGACAGTTGTGGTTTGTGTACATGTAACATGTTAGCACTCTCTCAAAACTGGCCAGTGGTCCAAGTAGCACTGGGCCTTGATATGTTGAAATAAAAAATTAAGCAACACGTTTCCAGTGGTTACCATGGTGACCAAAGGAATACCCCGGTGCAGGCAGGTACATGTATGCCTTCCGTTTATTCCCCGACTCGACATAGCCGTGTTGATAAAATCCATCTCACTGTCTGCAAATATCCCCCCTGATGCTGAGAGGGGGGGGGGGGGGGGGGAGGGGGTCTGCTAGGTAAAAATCATACTTGCCAACAATACCAGTTTTCCCGGTATACTACCGGAGAACTAGGGTAGCTACTGGCATACTGGTTTTTTTTACATTGAACGAAAACCACCGAAATTGTCGCTGAACCAAGAGCGCAATGTGGTGGCGTGGCGTATTGGATTCCATAAATCATAATGGCCGGGTTATCCCTACTTCTTCTTCTTCTGAACCATAAGTGTTAAAAAAAGGTTTTGTTGTAGTGTGGCAAGGGTGCATTACGCATGCAAACAATTGCCAACAATACCCAAAAATTGCGCAAAAAAGAGAAAACGGCCGAAATTGGCGAAAACCAGCAAAATCAGGGAATTGAGAGAAAACTAAGGGAAACTGGGTTTGTGACTAAGGGATTTGCTTTGGCCGAGTTGGCAAGTATGTAACATTGATGAATTAAAATACTTGGTGAACACAGCGTGCATGGAGCAGACTCTCACCAAGCATACTGCCATACATGTAGCTGGCTGTAAATCCGAGGAAGGCTTGTTTTCGTTGATGGGTGTAAGTACAACGCAGGCTGTTTCGTCAGTGCTTGACAATATTTTAAAAACAGGGAGTCGTGATGGCTTTTTGACTCCCTGTTCATAAGCCATGTGTTCCTTAGCAGCACTATTAAAAATTAATAACACACAGGAGAACACTCCTTGGCAAAAGCATCCACTCATCTCTAGAGGGGATGATCCAGTAACCAGCAATAGTTCTCTCAGTCTGAGCAATCGTGAATCAGGTGGACTCCTCTGGTTTGTTGTGAGAGAGTTTGAAGTGAGGTACCCAGTAATGTGTGAGAGTGGCTGCAATGGAGTCTGAGAGTGCTTAGAAAAGTTTATCCTCTGGTTTGAATCGGTTTAAATTATAGTTTTGAAACATTATCTGAATTCGACAGTCACAAACTTCCCCAGACATGCACCATGATAAATACTCAATCTGCGGACAGAGCTGTTTCGTCCTTTGTGGACTCATCAACGCAGCTCAGAGAAAACGAGGCCGAACCTGATAGCAATGAAAATAAATTTTCCAAAGCCAGATATAAACCAGGCCCGAGCGTACCTAGCCAGAGTGCTCAAACTGACAAGTCAGTGAGCTCTACTATACACACCATGATGTATATACCCTATCATAAGACAGTGAATTCGTTCCTTGCACTTCCCCTTTCTAATCTCTCAACCAAACGAGAGTTCAATCGTTTCAAACCATGCACTTGCACACACACTGGCAAAATGGCAAGCAAAACAGTACCAGGAGAAAAGAACAATTTCATCGTCGTGACAAATTGTGTACACATGCTGGGGATTCACATCCATTTCAAAGAAAATAGAATACGAGAAATAATCATTTCGAAGAAAGTACATAGTTTCACCATAGGTTCAATAGTCAGGCTGAATAGAATTGCGCAAATCAAATGCATTCGGTGTTGAATGGCCACACAAACAGTGCATCGTACTGAGAGCAAACTCACATTGGTCGCAGTGACAATACATACATGTACTTGAGAAATCATGCAGTAACAGAAATATACACATCAGCAAGCGCACTGCAGACATAGACACTATCACATCAGCATCAGCATATACACAAGACACAATTCACTCAGAGGAAGAATAGACTATCGACAATATGCAGAAACAAACATTTGCCATTACTTCTGTCTACAAAGGATAAACTGGTGTCAGATATTCCACCATTAGTCACAGTACGTCAACGATCGATAGAGAGAGAGAGAGAGAGAGAGAGAGAGAGAGAGAGAGAGAGAGATAGATAGATAGAGAGAGAGAGAGAGAGAGAGAGAGAGAGAGAGAGAGAGAGAGAGAGAGAAAGAGCATAGAGAGCATAGAAAGGAATCCATTGGAAAGAAGATAGTCGGCGGTATAGAATAAACAGTCCGTCACACAACATTGCCAGTACCTATGCTGCATGTACACAACACTAGCAGTGTGCACTACTGTACTCCAATATGTAAACTCTCTGCATGTATACTTAGTCAGCACTTTGCACATCCGCTCTCTGCACAGTATAGATAGTGTCATAGATTGTGCAGGGATGTACCCAGCATATAGGGCCTGTCAGAGAGTACAGTATAGATAGTGTATATATTTGTGCAGGGATATACCCAGCACGCATGGCCTGTCTGAGAGTAGAGTGTGGCAGCGTAGCAGACATTATGACAACACTGCTGACCGGGCATGTACCTGCCCTGTTCTCAATCGGCACAGAATGCCATGTCCACAGCACACTGTGTCACACTTGCTAATGAATGCCAGCAGTATGAAGACAACTTGTCCAGTATACCGGGGAGGCAATGCCTCAGCGCACTTTCTTCGGTGATGAAAACGAGCTGCCGAGAGACGATCCTCTTCCCGAGTACGCCGCACCTGCCCCAATGGTACTATCACCGAACACGTTGCTGTACGATGCCTTCAAGTAGGACACATAGTTTTCCATGCTGCGGTTATTGTGCTTCTCCTGATCCAGACGGTCTTGCAAGTCAAACACTTTGTTGTTCAGCCGTCTCTCGGCCTGATACGATGCGACGACGACAGCACAGGGCAAAGAACGACATATGGAAATACACCACATGCACATGCAAATACACACATGCACATACACAGACACACATGCATGCACGCACAAACGCACGCACACACAAAGACAAACAAATGCGTGAACATTACGGCAAGGTACATGAATTGGCCTGCACGTAGACGTGTGTGCAGTACAAATCCTAACAATGTAGATTTCGTACAAACTTAATTTAGCATTAGTAACTATACTAGCCGTAAACCTGCAAACTATCATCCTGGGTATGAGTGAAAACGAAGATATGGTGAGAACCGGGGACTGATAGTGTTTACAGTGCTGGCAACTGAAATCTGACTCCAGCTTGGTGCACTCACATTTCAAAACCCCAGCACACGCTTGCAACACTATGAAATAGAGACCACTAGAATCGGTGCTGCACTCTAGCACAAAGTTCAGGGGTCGGATTTCAGTTGCTACTGAAGTCGGAAGACGACATAAGCTGATAACGGCCGAAAGATATGCGTATCGACACCATATTAGGAAGTTTATGTGATCCGTGGTATATGCAACTCGTGATTATGATGGTGTCCTTGACCTTCTGACCTCAAGTGCAGGCCAGACAAGAGATGCCTTGTGCGAGTGTGTATAAACCAGCCCTGCACAAAGGGCCACTATATTGGACAGTCACCCCTGTTGTTCCCCTGTACGAGTCCCTAGTTTCTTCATCCCGCTGTATGGCAACGCTACTTTCTAGGAAAGCATATCTTTACAGAGCAAACACCCAGCTAACTCACGTCCTCATTTTCCGACTGAAGTTGAGCAACCTGAGCAGCCGATCTCTGAAGTTTCAATTCCAGTTCATCAATACGCGCTTTCTGGACACGTTCCTTCAGTAGAGAATGTGCAGCAGAAGTGAAAGCAGCATGCACAGCAGCAGCAGCAGCAGCACCACCAACAGCAACACCACCACCAGCAGCACCAACAACAGCAGCACCAACAACAGCAGCAGCAGTGTTGGCATTAGCAGTGGCAGCAAGCACAACAAGGAGACAGTGTTTAGAAGTCAATGACTAGAACAGCTAACCCACTGGCTACAAATTAGGGGTGAAGCCGTTCCGTGTTTTTCATGTCAGGGGTGAAGCCGTTCCATGTTTTTCATGTCCGGGTACCCTAATGTCAGCATAGTTTCCTAAGGTTCGAATATCGGTCCCATGCACTCTATTCTCCAGACCGACTAAATGCGTTCGTGAAAATTAATATTTTAGAAAGCAATTTTACGGGCAAGAACGAGACATCGTAGAGTCCATGTGTGAAGAAGATAATAACCTGGAGAACCCTTTGGAAGAGCGGTGATCGTTAGGTAAAGACATTTTTAAATCTTGACTAGATTTGACGTCTACATGCATTTGTAGGAGAACGAGATTTTTTAGTTTCAGCTCGAAATTTGACGGAACGGGTACCCGATTATGTTCAGCTGGCGGTTCCAAAACCGGTTCCTTACCCGAACCGTTTCACCCCTACTACAAATAGGCTAGTTTACCCTTTAAAGATTTGCCCATACTCGAAGCGGTTGTATAAGACCGCTCCGACCACGCACATTCAAACTTCGCGGGCCTTGGTCACATTTGTGCTAGAGAGCTGCGACTTTGGCTACAACTAGTACGCACCCATTCGATCCGCATGAGGTACCATTTGACTGGCGTTGCCATTCGAAAAAAGTTGTGTACTGAGCAAAGGAAAACCCTTGCAAGCTTCCGCCATGGCGCACAGGAATTTATCTGTGACGAGGCACTCGATGCACTGTTTTTAGGGGCTACGGGTGGCATTGGCCTTGACGACTCTGAAGACGAGTCCTCTGGAGGTTTGCCGTCTAGCGAGGAGTCAGAGTTGGACATAGCCTTACTTCAAGACGGCTCGGAAGACTCGGAAGAAGAGGATATCGTCTCTGAAGGCGATGAAAATTCTGAAGAAGAAGCTTCAGACCAGTCCCGCGAGTCAGCTTATTCTTCACGCTCGTCACTCGAGTCGTCAGCTGATAGCGCGAGTGACACAGCACCTGATGCAGCGCGTCCTCGTCGGGAGCGCAGAGGCCCAACCAGAGGTCGAGTTTGAGGTCGAGCTCGAGGTTGTGCTCGAGGTGCGCGCGGCCGTGGTCGAGGACGGGGTGTCGGAGCTCGAGGTGCGGGAGCTCCGCGTGCGCGTGGAGGTCGCGGCGGAGCACACACTCCTGTTCATGGCGACGATGCCATTGGCGACTTGGACAGTGAGGATGAGTGTCCCGAGTAGCCCGAATTTACTCCATCGCGGCAACCTGGTTGTCACTTCCCTGATGGATTCCAGCCAACCAGAGAATTGGATTTTTTCCAACTCTTCTTCACCTCTGAAATAATTTCTAGTATCGTGGAATACACAGATGAAAATGCTGCCATCCATATTCTGGAACGAAGTTCGTACCAGGATGAGTTTGGAGCTTGGAGTCACACTGACTCCGCTGAAATAATGTCGCTACTTGCCGTTACAATTTATATGGGAATTGTTCGTGAACCGCAACTGGCTCAATACTGGAGTTCCTCAACACTCTTCCATGGCTTATGGGCCCGGCAGATGATCCCGACCTTCCTAAGATACAAGGCACTCTTGTCGTTCCTCCATGTGGTGGATCCGTCAACTGAAGATCCAGCCGACAAGCTCCGCAAAGTACGCCAGCTGAACGACCACTTCCAAAAACAGTGTCATGACCTGTTCCAACCACACCAGAAGATTGCTATCGATGAGAGGATGATAAAATCTAAAGTGCACGTGTCCTTCAAGCAATACATATCCAACAAACCTGTTCGTTTTGGTTTCAAAGTGTTTGCTCTCTGCGACAGCACCTTTCACTATTTATTCAACTTCAAGATCTACACCGGCCGTGACCAGCCCGGCCAAGTTGAACATGGATTAGCACACAACATCGTCATCGAACTCATGCAGCCTCTTTCTGGTCAGGGATACCAACTCTATACTGACAACTTCTACACTTCTCCTGGACTCTTCTCCGACCTGAGTGATAATCATAACACAGTTGCTGCTGGGACCTGCCAGACTGATCGGCGGGGCTTCCCCGATGTTCTAAAAAATGTGAAACCATTTCAGCGGCACGCGGAAAGAGGATCTATTCGTTTCGTGAGTGATGGAAACATTGTTCACTTGGAGTGGAAGGACAAGCGCCCGGTCACGGTAATTTCAACAATGCACAGTGCAGTGGATTTTGTGAACGTGATAAGAAAGGTGAAGGAAAACAACGTCGTCAGAGATTTGGAGCTCAAGAAGCCCAAGCTGATCGATGACTACAACTTTGCTATGGGTGGCGTGGGTCTTTTTGATCAGCACGTGTCGACATACCGTGTTCTTCGTAAGACAAGAAAATACTGGAAGATATAGCTGTTTGACTTCGTCGATGTTGCTCTTGTCAACTCCTGGGTTTTGTTCCAACAGTGGGTTGAAAAACCCCAGGCGTTATCAAGACAACCAGAGAAAACAGCCATCTCGACTACAGGCTCGCAATCATCCGGCAGCTTGCAGACATCACGGATAAGACCGATGTGCCCCTGTCGAAGCCTGGGCCAACACAAGGCTTGGCCAAGACCCCGAAGAAGCAACACGGTCCTGTCCACACAGACAAAAGGCGCGAGTGTTCCTATTGCCGAGATGTGGGCAAGCCACGCTGCAAGAGCGTATTCGCCTGCTCAGTATGCGTGAACCGGGAAGGCCATCCCAAGCACTTCTGCATCAGGGAAACTCGAAACTGCTTCTTGGCCCACCTCGATGATCTGTAAAGGATATACAGTGCATCATATGGTAGAATCACAACAATATTCTCCTTTGGATAGACATTAGTTTCCCTTACCCTGCTCAAGAACGTGTATTTCATGGGTATCAATATTCACTGAGCTGTAATTCCTGACAGAATTGGTCTTTTTTGGTCTGTTTTTTATATGGTGCAGTATTCCAAGCACTTTCAGGAAAACATAACTTGTATATACATAATATCTTTCGTTTCAAGCTATAACGTGCATTCTGTGACCCGTGCGTTCCGTATACAAAAAAGTCAAAACTTTATAGGGTTAACCCAGTGGCTACAAATAGGCTAGTGAACCCAGTGGCTACAAATAGGCTAGTTCTATTTGGTTGATGCCATCTTCACTAGGTTTGTCAATTCAGAGCTAACTGAACTGTTTGTGCTGGTGTCTGAAAGCATCGTGTGGTCTCGTCTGGTCACAAAAAATATACCACGTCTCTAGTTCATTGATATGATACCACTAACTCACCACAAGAACTGATGCTTTCAAGATCTCCAGTGCACGAGGGTGTGTATGTGTGTACATGTGTGTGTGTGTGTGTGGGTGTGCATGTGTGTGTGTGTATGTGTGTGTGCGTCAGGCGAAATTACTGGTCAGTCGGCGTCACGCATTTTTCACAAAAATTTGCGTTTCACCTGCTGGGAGAGTATGCGTGTACTCGAGTCTCATCCTGAGCACGTTTTTTTCTTTCTTTTTTCAGCTCCAGTATACCTGTATTTTTCATTGCAAAGCCGTCCTAGCTCGATTGTTGTGTTCGTTGTTCAAACGAAGTGGACATTCAATCATGAAGGCAGAGGACATAGGAGCCTGATTGGAGTTTCTCGTGGCATAGGACGGCCACACAGAGACACTTTAGGATTTTCTGAATATAAAATACCGTACGCACGATGCTGAGATCAATGTGTGCGATATCAAATTGTTTGTGATCTACCACATCGAGCAGAACGGGATCCAAACACAAGCTTACTGACGGTTAGGCTGCCGACCTGACTGGACAAATGATCCCTGGCTTCACCAGACGCCAGAAGTTGGACACCATGTCCTTTGCCGGGACGTCCATCTCCAAAAAGAACTCCATCTTCGTCGTGAAAAGGCTTGAAATACTCAATATTCAACCGAGATTCGCGGTCTCACGCTTTCTCAGATCCAATCATTTTTTGTTGTAGCAGTTGCAGGATAGATCCCCGCCACTACTTCAACAGAAGATGGCTCCAAAGCATGCCTGGGACAAGCCATATCGAGGTTGCAAGCCACCCCTCTCAGCACTTTTTTTGAAGAAATTCGAAATTTCAATGGTGGAAGATATACTATGAAGAGAATTTCAAAAAGTATGTTTCGCGGAGCGATCGCTCAACCTACGTCATTCAAACTTTGCAGGATGGTTCAGACGTACATGCTAGGCATGGAACCACAGAAGATGATATCATAGCTGACAGACAGAGTCACACACACAGCAGATTCGTGTGCACAGATACTAAATTAGTGGACGTCGTCATCTTCTTCCCGCTGATCTCAAATGTAACTTACTATGACGTGCTATTTCGCCTGACGGTGTGTGCACGCGTGTGTGGTGTGTGCGCGCGCGCGTGTGTGTGTGTGTGTGTGTGTGTGTGTGTGCGTGTGCGTGTGTGTGTGTGTGCGTGTGTGGTGTGTGTGTGTGTGTGTGTGTGTGTGTGTGTGCGTGTGTGTGTGTGTGCGTGTGTGGTGTGTGTGTGGTGTGTGTGGTGTGTGTGTGTGTGCGTGTGTGGTGTGTGTGTGTGCGTGTGTGTGTGTGTGCGTGTGTGGTGTGTGTGTGGTGTGTGTGTGTGTGTGCATGTGTGTGTGTGTGTGTGTGTGTGTGTGTGTGGTGTGTGTGTGTGTGTGCATGTGTGTGCGTGTGTGTGCGTGTGTGGTGTGTGTGTGTGTAGGTGTCACTGAAGCACAATGTATACATGGCACTTACTTTGGCTGAAAGGCGATCTTTGAGTTGTTCATTCTTGTGTCGTGATTCCGACAATGAGGTCTCAAACTGCTGAGTGGTCATTGAACGCTCTCTTGCTATCTCATCTATGCGGCCCTATATGTACGAGCAAAAATAAAATAAATGCGGAGATGGGCAACCAAGGCAGACCACTTGGACACACATGTGGCAATGACACACTTTAAGAATGTACATGCTTAGTTGCCTGGTTGGTAGTATATATACAGTCTCACTCAGGATGTAGGTCAGACAGGTAGTAATGATAAAATAAATAGAACACTATCACCTGGGATGACTTACAGACAGAGATATCCTGGACTAAATGACAAGACACAGTGTTGCCCACACCTTGATATAAACCGTGTGAAGCATTCATTTGAGTGTACTGATGATGCCACTGAACCACTTACATATTTTGCTGTATGCATATTTTACACCATGACCTCACAGACCCACTAGCATATTCTGCTATGATTTTATACGATTACCTCACAGAATAAGACGACTCAACTCACCTGGCCTTTTTGAAGAGCTTCCTCCTTTTTAGCCAGCAGCTCCATCAGCTCAGTTGTACGTCGCTCTGACTCCAGCAAACGCCTACCACACATAACAGATATACACAGCACACATAACACATATACACAGCACAATGATGTAAAAAACCCAACAACATACCGTATCCAGGTGCAAATTTGAAACACTGGTTCATGACTCAATCCAATCTGCTCACGGCTTTAAATTTGATGCCTTTGACTAGTGACTTCAACGTGTTAACTTGACAAAAGGTAAAATGCACAGCGGTGATGTAGCCAGCATAGACCAAACCGAAAAATTGCCGTGTTTTGTTGGCCCGAAATCAGATAGTTGTGAAGCCAGCAGACGGCCGAGATTCCGTTTCACTAGAAAAACGCAGTAGTTGATGATCTGGTGGACAAATGACTCATTGCTTTCGATATTCAAACTTTGTCAACTTTCGTAAACTTCGCAAGAGGCTCTAGCATCCTCAAATTTTGCTGCTCACTAACTTCGTGTACAGCTTTCTTCGGAAAGCTGTCCTGAGTAAATATTCCAAAGCTCTCTGCTGTCGGGGTTTTCAACGTTTTCCAAGGGGTAACGCTTGCGAAAAAATACTCTATAATTTTACAGAAGAGAAAGTACCAGCATCTACTATCAGTGTAAACAGAATGTAAACAGAATGTAAACAGAATGTAACTGTCCTTCAACCCTGCTTGTGTGTGGCACCCGAGCAAGAGACATTCCGAGGTACAAGAACAAAATTATTACGTCACACCTCTCAAGAATACAAGTGATGACATCATACCTCTCAGCTTGCTCCGCGCGTGATATTGTCGATCTATTCTCCTGCAGCACAGACTGCCATTTTGTACGTAGACTATCTCCTTGATCAGACTGCGATTCAACCTTTACACACATACATACACACATCCATACACACACACACACACACACACACACACACACACACACACACACACACACAAATGCATGCACATATACACATACACACATGCCCGTCAGCAGAGAGGTGACCCACATGAGCAAGATGAGCACAGACCGACAGTGCCAATGATGTCAACAAGCCAGACACTGCAAGAACAACTGGGTTAGAGAGAGAGAGAGGTCTGTGCAAAGGAGGATGTGCTAAACGTTCAGAAAAATCAAATACACAGCTCTGCTGTCTGTCCTAACCAAGATCACTTTGTGTGATGTAGTGCTTGATTGTGAAAACATGTTTCCTTCACTGATGTCTACAATAATGTCATCTACTGCATTATCTCTGATGAGAAATTGAGAAAATCTTGCTTAGAATGGCCAGCAGTTTTGTGCGATGATTTCGGGTGGGACAAGGTGTGTCATTTTTCAGCATGAATGAAAAAAGAACACTTACTCGAGTTGTCAAGTCGCCAATCTGTCGTAAATGTTCGTTGTTCTGTCTTTCAGACGCAATCAACCGTTCCTGCGTCTCTCTGAGCCGTGATTCAGTAGACTAGTTAAAACAAGGATACAACAGCACAAGAGAGCACAAGAGCACAACAGTACAAGAGCACAAGGGAGCACAAGAGCACACACACACATGGGGTGGAAACAATATCAGAGTTGTCGTATCATCAGACATAACAGCGGCAGAAGCAGCATCAGTGAACATGATGATAAGAGCACACGAATAGTGCATACGGAGACAGCAGCAGCAGCATACGGAGACAGCAGCAGCAGCACCACCACCCTCAGCAGCAGCAGCACCACCACCCTCAGCAGCAGCACCACCACCCGCAGCAGCAGCAGCAGCAGCATAACAAGCAGCAGCAGCAGCAGCAGCAGCAGCAGCAGCATAACAAGCAGCAGCAACAGCACAAGCAACAAAGATGGCAACGATGGTGACGGCAATTGAGATACAGGATACACTATAAACAAGAGGTGAGTGACATGGTGGCTTGTCTATTGGTGATTAGGGGAAGGGGGAAGGGGGGGGGGACTGGGGGAACACTGGAGGCAGAGAACTATGGTCCCTGCAATGAAAATACCCAAACACTTGCCATGAATAACATGGCACTTGGCACTGCAAAGCACTGTGTAGTTCACTCGAACACTGCATTGCATTATCAATGGAGCAACTTTCAGAAGTAGACCACTGTAGTTGTACAAGAGTTATCATTGTACTTACTT